ATCCGAAGACTTGCTGTTGAGGTAATACATTTTGAAGAATGTTATGTTACAGTATTGAAGTGAACACCTATATTTCTTACAGGGAAAATTGTTCGGCAAATGCACTTATATAGACTCTTCACTTTGTTTCCAGAGACTGAAATACATTGCTAAGCCTTTTCTTGCTTATTGGGGTATATTGAACAACTAAATTTTTTCTTTTTAGTGAAGTCATTCTCATATTTTGAAATTGGCCTTTCTATTTTAGGACTGTGTTTACCGAAAAACATCTATTCTATTTGTAGTTTTGTGTTTAGTAATAGGTCAAAGCCTCTAGGGTTTCACACTTGAATGAATTACATCCTGAGGAATCCTGTGTACTGAGAAAGGCAGATTAATTAACATAATCAAACATGTCTCAGTAAAACCAGTATCTAAAACTACAGTGATGTCATATCCCATCACAACACCCTCTTAAAATGCTGTAATGTTCAATCTGGCAATACAAGTGTGGTAAAGACTACATACATGAGGTCTTTACTCCTTACCATTTTGATACATGTGGTTTTCAACTGTCAGCTTGGAAGCCAATCTACTGTTTGTAAAGTCAATTTATTGCTTTTCTAAGAAAATAAATAATCCTACCTTTGTAGCTGAATATATCATTACAAAATTTTTTGGGTTTATAGGTTCACAGGTTTTAACACTGCAGCCATTGTTGACTTGAACTTAATCTCAAGGTTCATCAGATTTTACCCAGCGGCTTCTGGACTAAACCCAGAACATACAGCTGACCTAGATCTAAAGACCTTAAAGGGTGATCAGTTTTGCTCCCTCTTTAGTTGTTTCAATCTTTTAATTGCTTCAAAGTAGGATTATTCTTTTTCTATTCTGAATTCATCTGTTATGTTCCAGTCTTGCTAATTTACTACCTCTCCTTATTTTAAAAATTACTTTCACTTCACAATTGCTTTCACTTCATGAAGGTGTCTAAAGACTCCTCTAAACTCTTCTGTTTTTTACAAGCTGAACCTCTTTAATCTTATATTATTAAAGTATTCCAAACTGTACTGTTCTTGCAGTTCTTTTCAGAAACCTTTCAAATCTGCCAGCTGCCTTCTTACAGAATGATTATTTAGATATACTGAACATGTTTAGAACTGGTCACACTAAAATGATAATAACAATTTCTCATGACTACCGCTATGATTAGTTTGTCTTAATACTCCAGAAGAACTCTGTCACACCAAAAAGCATATTAAGTAATCCTTCCATTTGCATGTGCACTTTGGTTTCTTGTATGAACACTTTGGAGTACCTGCTTTGTGTAAACTGTGTGTTAATAAAGTGAGATATTCTATAAAATTGACCTATCTTACCTTTTGCTGAGTGCAAATATACAAAGTTTTGCAAGTATCTCTATTTCAGAGACAAAAAAAAAAAGTTATCTACTGTTATGATCCACATGAGGATCATCTTCTTCTAGTAACATTAAAGCATTTTTGACTTGCAGGCTAGTCCTGGTGAACGTCTCAAGCTCCTAAATAAAAGTGATTTACCTTCAAATATACCTAAATTAGAGATTGACATTAGAATATTTTGGTAAAAACTTTATTTCAACATACTAGTGTTTTCTATTTATAAAGAATGTACTTTGATTAATCTCCAGTACTACTGAAAGTAAATTATACAGTTCAGCTTTGTGTGCATAGGGTGTCCACATACCAGCTATCATGTTTTGAAAGATTAACAATATTTTATGTTGTTGTTATCCATGTATATGAGGCATATATAAGGGAACATCATTAATATTTGAGAGAGATTTATGCCATGAAGAAGCTCTGTGGATTTTTTTTTTAAAACATATGGTCAAATAAGTCTCACCTTTCACTTTACTGTAACTGACAGAAGGATCAAGAGATACCATAAAAATCTTCTAAAGATTGGACAAAGCCATTTGTTTGGTTTTGTATATTAAACAGGTAGGTCTACCAGTAGTGCTATGGTAAAACTAAAAAGATGGTAATTAAAAGAATAGTGAATTAAAACACTTAGGACACTATTAGGGAGTATTTTATCAAGGCTTTTGATTAGAAATGAAGTTTGCTTCTATGTTTCTAACCTCATTGGAGTCAACAGTGTATGCTTGAGTACTCTGTTGAACTGGAACCTTTTATAAATCAAAGTGGGTTGTTTGAATTCACTCAGAAGAGAGCATTTTAATATTCAACACTACCCATAGAAAATTTTCAAAAGCTTGAAAACAACAGTCTTATTTAGCAGAACAAAATGATGTAATGGCAAAGTTGCTACTTAAAGCACAAGCAAGTATATATTTTTCCCAAAAGGATTTTGAGAAGCTTGAACACTGCATATATAAAGTATAGCTTGCATTTATAATTAATAGAACTGTTCCTATTAGAAACCTGGACAGTTTGTGATGGTAGTTTTAACTAATAAGAAAAATGCACTTGCCACAGTGCAAATACATGAAACGTTAGATCAATTAATTGTTGGAGTACATAATGCACAAGAGTAAACAGTGCCTGGAGAAGCAGTCTCACTACAAACTTATTTTGAGGGGAAAGATGGGAATCAATTGTTCTGAATATACGAAGGAAGTACTCTACACTGATTCTGTAGAGCACCTGCATTGACAGACTGCCCTTGAATAAATAGAGGATTTATTTAGTTTGTTATTATGTTTTCTGTTAAGCATTTAGACAAGTTCCTTTCATGATCATTGTTGCCACCCAGGACTACAGGGAGAACAATAAAAAAGTAACCTTTTTCCAAAGTGGGTCTAGAAACTTGAAGCATCCCTGCTTTAATGTAGCTACTTCTAATTTAAAAAGTTCGGGTACAGAGGAAATAAGTTAGTGACATTCTAGTTCGTTCTTCAGCTGTACACTTGATATGTATTAACAAAGAAATCCCAACTGGTTCTAAATTGTTTGGCAGGTATTATTATTCAGCAATACCTGCTGGAACAATAAGTGCTAAAAAAAAGAATAAGGATATTGTGGAAATGGAAAATGTAAGTTAAGAACTCAGGTGAAGCTACATGTGGGATATTTTGGAAATAAAATCTAAAGAAATAGAAAAGAAGAGGCAATATACCTGAAGGTGGAATATCTGATTGCTCTCAAAATTTCTAATTAAATACCCTATTTCTAACCCACACCCTATCCTTGGATATAAGGAATGCATAAAATCCCCATTTCTAGTTTCCTTCCTACATCTTCTCTACTAAATGACCTTTTAATTTCCTTTTCTGTTTTTTTCTATTCTGTCTTAAAAGTTGATCTATATTGCGCTCTCTGTCTTTCCATCTTCCTTTTTCTCTGATGAGGTTATTATCCTTCCCTCAAATTTCAGTTTCTTTTACTTTGCTTTATGTACCTTATCTTGCTGAACCTTCGCCTTTTTCCACATCTGCTTCCTTCTTCAGTACTTTAGTTTTATATGGCTTTTTAATAGTTTTAATAAGACTCCAGCATGAGAAAATCATGTGGGCTGCACAACTAATGGAGCTGCACAAGCAGTGGGGCTGCTATCTAATACAAATTAGTGGCTACTGGAAAAAACAAGCCAGCAGATTACACTGAGGCAGTTAAGGAGAGGAGAATATGCTCAGCCAGATTTCTCCTTCCATTGGCTCTTCTTGACATGATATGGGTGCTTGAAGGCCACTTTTTACAGATTCACACAAAGCATCCTTACTTTACAATCTCATACATATTTTCCTCTTCTATCCCTCTCCGGGTGTAGCCCTTCCTCACAATTTTTTCATTTTCTTTCATGCACAAACCATACGGATTCCCACAAGAATTTCCCAAACAATATTTCTCAAATCAAATCCTTTTCTAAGGAAAGCAGCTTCTGATTTGCATGAAATATTATTTGGTTAGAGCTGATAACACCAAGGTCATGGTTTGATCCCCATATGGACCATTCACTTAAGTGTTGGACTTGATGCTCCCTATGGGTCCCTTCCAACTCAAAATATTTCATGATTCTGGACTCACTTTCCTACTGGCACCCATACTTGTAACGTTATTCTCTGTTCTTCCCTCTTCTCATAAGTAACTTTCTGGTTTCCCTCTTACAAGGTTCCTTCCCTTGTTCCTTCCCACAATCCCATCCACTCTCCTCCCCAGCTAAGCTTTCAAACTCTTTGGATTTCCCTCCTAATCCACCTTATGGCACAAGATCATCTTTCTTCTCTGAAAAAGTCAAATAGAACAGGATATACTTTTCCTGTGTCAATCAGCGCTGTACTTTCAAAGTACTGAAATACAGAGATGGGTTTCCCTCGCTCATCCATTTCCTAAGAAAAAGCACACCATCAGCCCTACAGGCAAAGCAGAAACACCCCTGTTTCACCAATCTTTTCCGACACCTGAGGTCCAGTGAGTTCATCCCGGCCCTTTGACAGTCGCTGCCCCGTGTAGGCATCGACCCGGCCGCCCTTCTTCCCGCGGGAGGGAAGGCGCTCAGGCAGAGACCCCACAGAGCAGCTGAGCTTTCCCCTGCGCCTCCGCCCGGGGCACCCCTCCAGGGCGCCCCCTCTCCGCAGCGCCGTGCCCGGTCCCTCCCCGCTGCCTCCGCGGCGGCCGCGCTCTCCAGGGGGGCGGCCGCAGCATCCCCCGCCCTGCCTCCCGCCCGCCCCGCCGCCGCCGGGCCGCGGCGCGCCCCGTGCCCGGGATGCGTCCGGCGGCGGAGTGCCGGCTGCTGGCAGGAGCCGGGGGCAGGCGGGCGGGCACGGGGGCTCCCGCCGCCGCCGCGGCTCGGCGCCACCGCCGCGGCTGGGATTAGGCTCCCGCTCGGCTGCGATGCGGAGCGGCGGGGCGGGAGCGGCGGGGCCCAGCGGGAGGGCGCGGGGGGCCGCCGGGCACTAGGCGGGCGGCGGGCGCGGAGGCGCCGGAGCTCTCCAGGGTGCTGGGGCGCTGCCCGCCCGCCTTCCCGCGGGAGCCCCGCGGCCGCCCTCGCCCATCGAGCAGCACCGCCGAGCCCCTCCGATGCCTCGGACAGCACCGCTCCCGGGGTCCGCCGCGCCTGCGAGCAGCATGGCCCGGATTAGGTACCTCCGCGCGGCTGTCTCGGGCTTTTATCTGTGGGAAGCTGCGCTACTTCTCAGGTGAGTTGTTTTATTTGGGGAAGTAAAGGTGTCCACCCTTCCCGATTTTCGGGCAGCTGAAATGCCTGGGAGTGGCGCGGAAAGACGCCGCGGTCACCGCCTTTCCTCACCACGAACGCCCGGCTCCCCTTCGGCAGCCGGGCTGTGGGCACGGAAACTAAATGCATGGGGTCCATGCTTCGCAAATGGCTTTGCAACATCGAGCTGCCTCGACTTTTGGATTTTGCAAGCAGGAGGCTATGTATTTCCTTCACCTGCTCGCAGTTAGAGTTTGCCGATATGATCTGTGAATTTTATCAGTGTTTTTAACAGTAATTGTAACATCAATGGTATTGAAAATAATCCATGTGCAAAGTGTCTATATGTAAAAGTTACAGAAGATAATCTGAGTTGAGAATATATAGAACTTCCTTATTACTCTCAGTTTTTTTCAGTAAAAGGAAAATCACAGATTGATCGGTGGTCAAGTCAGGTTGGGGAAGTCTTATATAGAAACAGAAAAACACTAGCTGAGTGAAGAGAGGGTATGGTCTACAAAACTTCCGTTGAGAGGGAAAGCTTTTGCTGTGCTCCTAGCAGTCTAAGATTTGTATTATGAAAGATGGCAACATATCCATAAATTATGACCTCAGGAGAAGACTGAGGTTCATACAGTTTCTTCTACTTTCCACCCAGCACACTCTTTCTAGGTAATGTTATTATATTAATTCAAGCATTCTTTAAATGCATGGATCTGGGAGTCTAGTGATAGCAGGCTAAAATAAATTTGAGTCTCAGTGAGGGAAAACTTGTAAAGAAAAATTACACATGTAAAGAAACAGACTTCAATGTCATCATGTATTCACTGCTAATGCAGTTACCCATTCTTGTTATCAACAAATATTCTAGCTCTGTATCACAATAAACAAACTATGGCATATAACATGCCAGACTATTTTAAGAATCCCGCTGTTACTTAATAAAGATTAAATCAACTTAAATTCTAAGAGAGAGTTTGGGGATACATGTAAGGGATTTATAACCACAAAGTTAACAGTGTAGTGCCCCACAATGATGGCACACTTCATGAGTGATCAGAGGCTTATAACAAATCCTTCCTTTTTGACGTTAAGTTAATGACCTGCTTTGTATCAACATATGCAACATAGATAGTTTATAATGTGATTTTATTGTAATTGTGCCAAAAGGAAGAGATTTTAAGAAACTAGGTCACAATGAACATGCTTGCTGTGCACAAGGACTATGTAGACTGAGAAAGAGTTAAGAAAGCTGCTCTGAATCTATGTATATGTTTCATATCAATCTTTATATAGAGACTGTTGGTGCCTTTAGGTCCAGCAATAATACAGGAGAAACCTGAGTCAGTTCAAGAGACAGACTAGTCTTCCTCATGCTTTAATATGGAAGAAAAGTGGGGGGGAAAAGTTAAAATATTAAAAGCTGTAAAATTCTCAAGTTTCCTGGAGCCATTAATTCTAGTTCTTTTCCTGCTGGTAGAATGCTGTTTCCCCTCTCTGTGAGTCACCCAGAGTCCAGCCTTAGCACCTGCATAATACTTGATGAGAAGATGGATGTGCTGTGAATTTATAGAAACAGTCAAAACTTAAGTTTTTACTTGCTCAGACATTTTGGAAAAAATAATGTTATCTTCTCTTAAATCATGCAACATCAAAACTTTTCTGCTCTTCATTAAGAAGCAGAAGGCTGTGTGAGAAGACTGGATGAACCTAAGGGGAAAAGCTTTCAATACTTGTTCAACAGTCCTGAGGCTATTTAAAATTACTGTTTAAATTATATGCCTATGAAGATAGATGTTTAGTTTTATTTTTAGTGCAGTTCAAATAAAATTAAAAAAGGATTTTTTTTGGTGTAAAGTTACAGGCTTGCTACTTTAATGAGCAAAGTCTTAAGATTGGCATGCTTCACAAGAGAAAACTGCACGTAATTTATTTTTTTAAAAAAATCAATAATTTTTCATTCCACATCAAAAGACTCTTCAAATTGCAATGAATGAAACAAGATGTATATTGCTCATTGTAGGATCTAATTATTAATTTGATTTCTGAAAGACACTGTAGAAAGAATAAAACATTAGAAAAACAACAAAGCTGGTGAAAGGTCTAGAGAGTAAGTCATATGAGGCGGGCTTATGGAGCTGGGGTTGTGTAGCCTGAAGAAAAGGAAGCTCAGGGAAGACTTTATTGCCCTCCACAGCTACCTGAAAGGAGGCTGTAGCAAGGTGGGGGTCAGCCTCTTCTTCCAGGCAACTAGTGACAGGACAAGAGGAAATGGCCTCAAGCTGTACCAGGGAAGGGTCAGGTTGGACATCGGGAAGGATTTCTTAACTGAAAGTGTTGGAAGCATTGGAATAGGCTGCTCAGGGAGGTGGTGGAGTCACCATCCCTGTAAGTGTTCAAGAAACAATTAAAAATAGCACTTAGTGCTATGGTCTAGTTGACATGGTAGTGTTCAGTCAAAGGTTAGATTCAGTGACCTTGAGGTCTTTTCCAACTTTAATGATTCAGTGATTATTAATAGTCTTTTATACTATTGTATGTTTGTACTACTATGTCATAAGTGAATAACACAGTTATTGATAATAGATTAATAGATTTTAAACGTGAAAAACAGTGGTGAAAGCACACAGCAGTCTGGTTTATGCAATGTATTTTAAGACAGGGAGAAAAGCTGCGGTCAGACCCAAAATAAAAAAAAATATTGCTTATTAAGGACTGCCAGTCCAAACCCCAGTGTGATACTAAGAGAGTGGAGATGTAAAAAAGAGGGTAAAACCTAGGGAAAATAATTTAATGTAGCCTAAAAATCGCTTTAATTCACTACCAAAGAAGGAAAACCACTTCTGAGATATAGTTTGAAATTATAATAATATCTAAGACTGAGTATTCTTCTGAGTTTTCATTAAAGTAATAGTGTTAACAAAAAATCCTCTGGATTTACCTGGATTCCAAGAGGTCATAATGAAAGCAAGATCATATTTGTAGAGTCAACACAAATATCATATTTTTGAGTCAAACAGTTTTATAACAGTCACAAACTTGCATGGGCACCAGCACTGGGTCTCTTAGATCTACCCTGTCAGGGACTTGCCAGGGACTTGTTTTCTCTTTAAAGGATGTAGTACATCTATTTTATATGTAGACCTGTGTATAGGGAAAGCACAGGGTGAAAAGGTAGGTGGCACTGTGGAAATGCAAAATAGATTCTCTCTATATCATCTTTCTTTAGTTATCCATATTAGTATAGATCAAGAATCACACTACAATTAGGCTATTTCCTTTTGCTTTGCTCTTTTTAATACTCCACTGTTGGAGAAACAGTATCACAGACATAGCTAATTGCTCTTTGAAACCAGATTCTTGTGGAAAAAACCTCCACGCAACCTAACTCTGGGGCATATCTGAATTTACAGTTAACTGATTTTGAAATTGTTCCTGCATTTCACTGTAAATTGATTTCAGGTGAATAGCTTTAAGAAGCAGAAGTTCTTATCCTTTAAGTCAGCATTAGTGCCTTCAAATTACAAAAGAGAAAAAAAAATCAGCTAAAAGCTATTAAATCTGACATAGCATCACAAACATCTTTGAAAATAAAGATTTTCAGGTGTTCTAATGAGACTTCAGTTGATTATTAATATGCTAAAAATTATACCTACAATACTACTCAAGAAATAAAAGTGTCTGTTAAAATCAGGACAGGAATAAAAGTGTGTGAAAGAAAATCTATTAATTCAAGATGAGAGCACTGAGGTACAGTACTTTTCATTGTCAGTTCAGACTCAATTTTAAATATGGTTTCTATGAAATAAATCAGTTGACAGACTCCAGGTCCTAATGTAAAAGATTTAACATGTCTCAGAGAGTAGCAAGGGAAGGGTAGGTGAGCTAGGAGTGGAGACTCACAGCAAGTCAGGAAGGAGCAGGATCCTAGCAAAAAAGTTTGCAGTTGCACAGCACCTGTGCAGGAGAAGAGGTAGGTCCAAAGTCAAAGCCAAAGAGTTAGGTCAGCAGACTAGGCTCAGGATCAAAATTATGAAGGTACAAGTCTGGGTGAAAGTATACTTGGACACTAGCTCATGCAGAGACCAAGAGCATCTCCCCAGCACTCTGGACAGTGAAAAAAAAAAAAAAAGTGAAAACCAAACATGGAAAAAAGGAACAGATCCTGAGAGAAGAGAGGTGAACCCTGCTGAGGATTCTAAAATTCAAACAATACACACAGCTTTGTTTCAAAGCTGCACTGCTGCACTCCTAAAGTTCGCACTGAGCCCGGGTAGTCAAACCCCTGTGATGGAGGATACTTATAAAACGTCAGGAGGAGACCATCAGGGTTCCCTTGCATATACTCATATAGAGGCATTGTACTTTCCAAGACTGAGACAAAAATGAAGTGGGGGTCCTGTGACCAAGAATATGTAATTCTAATTCTCTTGTATTTCAACTGTTCCAAAACACTGAAATCCCTTTGTATCATGAGTATCATGAGTTTTGTCATGAGTACAAATTTGATCAGAACTTTCACTATCCGTTCCTTATTTCTATAAAAATTAAGTTAGTTTTCTAAGTGACTACCATGTTTATAATTTTGAGAAAGAATAATATGTATATTTTTTGGGTTTTAATATTATAAACTGGAAGAAAATTAAATAATAAAGTAATTTCATTTAAAACCATGAGTCTTTCAATTCTTACAGTGCTAATGATGTTTTCTTACTTTTCAACCTCTCCTAATTCATTCCTAGCCAATTGATGCTAACAACAACTGAAAGCAAGTAATATTGTGAGATAAGTGCTGTGCTTCTGTATGATGATAAATGTAATAGCTCCTCTATCAGATTAGTCTTGTCCAGGCATCCTAGGAGTCATGACAATCAAAGAGAATGAAAATTTTTACAAGATTAGAGCTTCTCATTTTAACAGATTCAGAATACAAGCTTCAAATGACCTTACTGAGTATTATGTAATAATACCTATAGGGAATTA